CAAACCTACAAAAATATGGCCGATATCCCAAGCTGATAGATAAGCTTTAATCAGAGAAGCAACCAAGAGTCCCATGGCCTTTAAAGTTATGGGTTAGCGGTGGGTGGGTGTAATGTGGCTTCAACCCCACATTCCATGTCAGGACCTTGGAGTTGATCACGAAGCATAAAGAACAGAACGAAAGGACGAACTGAAAGCGGTGCAGGTTTCACATCCTATCGCTGTAGTAACATTATTCCATTTTCTGTTCCCTGTTCAGAGTGCGCTCATGGAGCTGAGTGCAGTGGACCCCTGGGGGGCTCCTGCTAACGCCACTGTGAGCTCTGCCGGCCCCTCCCCTCCCCTCACACTGTCCGGCCCCTCTGCCTCTGGTCCATGGGGTCCAGCCCCCACAGATCCATGGGGAGTAGCTTCGCCCACGTCCCCTACGAGCACTGACCCCTGGGGTGGAGGAACCGCGCCCACTGTAGCCCCTCCTCCAGACCCCTGGGGGGAGACATCCCACAAGGTTAACAACGTCGACCCCTGGGGAAACTCAGGTACGCTGCCACAGCTCTTGGTTGATGTTGCATCAGCTTAGTGGATAAAGGTCAGAGCTTTAAAACAGAAGTCTGTTTCTGACTCGAAGAGGATGTGAACGCCAAAACCTTTGCTTGTTTCAAACCTCATATTCTCTGTTCAAAATGTGTGTATTTACATCCAGTCATGTCATGATCCTTTCATAATTGATCTTCTCATCCACCTAAGGGGCGTTTCGACCGCAGGAACCTTTTCCAGGAACCAGAGTCTTTACTGGGGTCCTTCCTTTACGTGCCCAGGAAGTTAAACAGAGTTCTGGGGTAAAAACAGCCCTGCTAGGGCTGTAGCACATTAAGACTGCTCTGAAGCCTCAGGGTGGGGTTTGTGGTGGAGGGGCTCTACACATTTCTAATTGGTTGAGTGTTCTCAGCATTTTGCTTCTGCCTTTCTATCTCAGGCATCTCAACTGCAGGTCATTATGTTCTCTTAATTTCAAATTGTAGCAGAGAACCTTGAGGTTTTTTTTTCTGCAAAAGAAACATTTAGGCAGCTCCAATCTGCTGAGGAAACGACTCTCAGTGGCAGCTCCAGCTACAGTACAAACCTTAAGAGTAACAGGAGAAAACATGAAATCAGAACAATAAAAGGCTGCTTCACAAAAGGTTGGACTACGAGGAACTACGGAAATCACTTTAAGCTCAGCTGAAGTGATTATCTGTGCACCAGGTTTAAAATGAGACCTCTCCAAAGCGCAAAAGAACATTTAGGTCGGAACAGTCACATTTAAATACACAAAACAACCACGTATTGATAACGGACTTTAAGCATGAAAACACTGATGCACGCTGCCTCTGTGAGTGTGTTCATTTTATGCAGCCCCTTTCTGTCCTCTGGGTGAGAGTACATACACACAGTTCATCCCTGCAGGTTCGGTGCTCTGTCAGCACAAGTGTTTCGTCTACAAATATACTGCAAATACTCATGAAACGTTCAGACGACCCTCTAGTAGAGATGTTTGAAAAGCGCTGCAGTCTGAAGCTCCCCCTGCTGACTTTCTCCAGTTTCGACCTCCAGAGAGGAAAAGACTCTGACAAAAATATCAGGAAAAAGTAACAAAATGAAGCTTTGTTTGTTTATAGTTAAGCCCAAGGTAATTCACATCTCTGGCAGGTTTCTGTTGACTGAAATGTACCAGGGTTTTTACAAATTACCAGGAGAAACATGCAAAAAAAAAAAAAAAAATTGATAAGCAATTCATTTGTTCTAATGGCAATACATTGAGGGTGTAAAGATCTTATTTTAGATGAAAACAGATAAAACGTTTTTTTTTTTTTTAATGTTGCTCCATTAATAAATGTCTGTCTCTGTCTGTCAGAAACAAATTTACTGTTGGAATGATAATTAAGATTAGTTGTAATTTAGGGCCTTAATGTTTGAGGTTGTTTCCTGCTGTCTTCATAACTGAGCCAAATGAAAGATGTTAAAATTGGACCAATTTTGAGTTCCCGACAGCTTTTGTTGCAGCAATTTGAATAAACTGAAGGCTTAAGAATTAATATATGGAGGTCAAAGAATTAACTCCAAGAAACTTGATGAATGCATGATTTAAGCAGCATGTCCTGGTGAAAGATGACACCAAGTTTCTTTACAATATTGTTGGTGGGCTAATTAATGCCACCCAGAGCAAGTGACTGAGCACTTTGAATTTAAAAGTGGAAAGTTAAACGTCATCTAGGTTTGTTTTCCAGAGACGCCTGACTGGATTCATCAGGCTTTCTGGATAAATATGGGCGAGAATCAACAGCATAAGAGTGGACATAAAGTAATAAAAATATGGGTCACATCATGGCAGCTTTGGTCGAAACTCCCCTCTGTGTGCTTTGGTTTTGTCTGAAGGAAAGCAGGCATGCTGAGTCCGTTCTCCCTCTGTGTCTAAACCAGGGATTTTTATCCTCTTGTTTCTACTCAGGGACTGGCTGCGTCTCAAATGGAGCACTGTCTCTTCTGTTGCCCTTTTTTTGGCTTCTATTTTTATTTTTAAATGTTTGAGGTTGCTTCCTGCTGTCTCTCCTTCACCTCCGCTGAGCTCGAATTGAGTCACAGCAACAAATGCAGCTGACCTTTTCTGACCTCAGTCAGGACGTTTGTGGGGTGGAGAGGTTAAGGAGAGAGAAGTGCTTCTGTTTGAACCCGGCTCAGCTTCCACCTCCCTCCATGCTGTGGGTCGTTACCTGTATGGTGTTGTGTTAATCCCTCCCTTCCCTGCATCTCCTCTCCTCCCCTGTAGCCGTGACCCCACCCAGTGCTGACCCCTGGGGCTCCCCCGTGCCACCCAGCACGTCCTCCTCAGGGGGACCGGTGGACCCCTGGGCAAAGGATGGGCCTGTCCCCGCCTCTGACCCTATCACCTCCGACATCTGGAGTGGCTCCGCCAAACACACTAATGGCACAGGTACATTCACAGCTGAACCTACACGGACTCACACACACACACACACACTCAGGTGCAGAATCTCAGTAACCCCACCCACATTTCATCCTCTTGTAGTGTGTGTGAGTGTGACTCATTACATTCAGCTTGCTTTGTTTTTTGCGTCTCGTTTACACACACACGCATACGCACCTGACTTTTCACTCTCAGGGGATCCAGAGCGAAGAGGCTCTTCAACAACGGGCTGCGACAGCACGGGCTCGCCGGTGCCCTTTGACCTGTCGTCACTCGGCTCTTCGCTTCCCGTTCGTAAGACTCCGGAGTCGTTCCTCGGCCCCAACGCGGCGCTCGTTGACCTCGATTCCCTGGTGTCGTCGAAACCCAAACCCAAACAGCCGCCGCCTCCTTCCATCTCGGCCTCTTCGTCGAACAACCCCTTCCTTCAGAACACAGGTGAGAAAGCAGCTGCACCACAGGCGCGTCTCAGATCAACATGTTCTTTATCTCTCATTTCAGAAAGTCAAGCTTGTATATTCAGGTTGTTCGCAGATCCTTAAAAAGTCTGAAATTATTGTATCTAAGATTAAGGCTTTAAAGTGTATTTTTGAAAGGATTTTTCTTGACAATCCTCTCAAGACTGCAGTTATCCTTTCTACTGGCAAACCTTTTCCTTCCACTAAACTTCTTCCTGTTAACAACCAGCGTCTTGAGGAAGACTTTATATCCTTTGACAGAAATGCAAGTCACTTTTTTCTGTTAAGATGCTACAATATTTAGATGTGTTAATCCACCACTTATTAAACTTGGGATTATGTCCAGCTGATAAATCAGCCTCGATTTTTGTAATTGTATGGGGATCAACGATTGGCCAATACTTACATGTGAAGCCGATCTTGTCCATCTGCCTCAGCAAAGGTCTAAAAATCAACCACTGCCCTCTTCTGCTCTCCATTGAGAGAGGTTTGACTGTAACAACACTCACCTCACTGTTACCAACTCACTGCCTGTCTTTTTATATTTAGCAACATTACAGACAAAAAAAAAAAAAAGGTCTGTAATGTAAACCTGTAAATCAAAATCAGCAGGTCGGGCATCTTAATGATTGGTAATCGGTGATCAGCCAGAAAACTGCAATCGTTGCACCCCTACTTACAGGATTTTCTGGTTGAATATTGCAGACTTTATTAATAATAAACCTGTTATCCCTGCACTGCAGGCTCGTCTCCTGCCCCCGGCATGGCCGTGACTCCGGGCAGCACCATCTCCAGCAGGGGCGTTTCACCGACACCCGTCTCCTCCAACCCGTTCGGCGTGGCCCCATCCATGACCTCCATCTCCCCCCAGCCTTCGTCCCTCGGCCTGAGCGGCCTGCGTACCAGTCCTGTGCCTCCCAACCCCATGCTGGGCATGGTCCAACCAGGAATGGGTCTGGGGCCGATGAGCGTAGGAATGGGGCCCCCTGGGATGGGCCTGGGCATGATGCAAGCCAGCCCTATGGGGATGCCGTTCAGCGGGCTCTCCCCGATGGGACCCCCGGGCTCTGCCCTCTTGGGGCCCGGAGCTATGCCGCCCCCTCAGCAGATTTTGGGTGGGCCCGCAGGAGCAGGAGGAATGATGGGAGCAGGAGGCTCCATGGGCGGCGGAGGAACGGCGGGAGCAAGCACCAATCCGTTTCTTCTTTGAGGACGCGTCACCACTACTTTGCTCACCTTTCTGCCTCAGCTGTCGTACCTGCTACCCCCTTCATTCATTCATTCATTCATTCATTCATTCATTCATCGACAACCCCCAACACCAGATTTATCCACAAAAATGTCTACATTAAAAAGAACAAAAACGCTGTTTATTTTCCTTTAAAGGCATAATTTCATTTCAGGTTATTTCTCCACCTTTTTTTTTTTGTCCCTTTCATTTCAAAATTTGTGTCAAATAGAAGTATTTATTTCCGATCTCTTTCTGTTCTGTACCTTCTGTTTCTGTCCAGTCTTTTGTCGAGTTGTGATGAACGGTGAGTCAGTGAGAGCAATGAGTTTTTTTGTTTTTTTTTTTACCAGTAGTGTCACTCTCCACTCATAGTACTACTGCACACGAGAGGGAGCCGGAGGAAGAGGTCACACAGCCACTAACGAACTGAGCAGAGAAACTGTCGTACCTGCCTCTTCCTCCTCCCTCTGTCCCTCCGTCTAGAGCGAAGACAAACACTGAATCACTGAAATGAAACGAGTGCATGAAGGATGATTTTTAAACGGAGCCCCAGACTGAGATAAAAAAAAAAAAAAAAAACCTGCATTAACATTTCGGTCACAATGTGGTCAAACTGTTTCAACCAGTTCACTTTTAATTTAATTTAATGTTGAGTATAATTTATTTTTTTCCAATACTTGGGAACTAATAAACAAGGAAAATCATGTGATGATGCCATTTAGATCAGATGCTTTTCTTTTTTTTTTCTTTCCCTACTGTTGTAGGAAAAAAAAAGAAAGAAAAAAAAAAAAAGCTCTGACATGTGGTCTGATGGCAGGAATAACTAACCGAGTGTGTTTGTTTGCGGCCGAGGGCGAATGAGAACACAAATGCTTATTTATCAGATGCCAGTTTTGTGTTTGTTTCAGTACTTTGTCCCATTTCTCCTCGTGTCTGATCTCATTTCAGCGAGACTGAATGGGGGGGGGGGGGGAGTATTTCTGAAAATGATCACCTGTGATATGTAAGGTTGGTTTTTCAATGAGGTATTTTATGGGTTGTGATTTCTCTGCCAATCTTTTATTTTGAATTACCCATTTCAGCTGGGATGCCTGGAGTTCAGGCGACCCAAAGCAACACTGTCTTCGTGTTTCATCCCCTTTTTTTTCTTTGTAAAGGGAGTTTCAGCCGATGCTTCTTCAAAGAGACAATTATTTCGTTGAGTGAACGGAGACAACACGGGGACATGAAGACATGCTCCATACTGCTCTTTTAATTTAGCTTGGATGAATTTATTATTTTATATCAAGAGAAGTATCTTTTATTGGGTAAGTTTGACTTTTGTGTGGTGTCAACTGTGAACATTCACATTTGAAAAGAAAAATGGAGAAAAAAATCTACAGAAATTTATGAAATAAAACAAAAACAGGGAGTGTGTGTGTGTGACTGTTTTTCATGACTTCTGTATCTTTTGGGAGGAAAAAAAAAATCTAACATATGAAGCCACTTACCCACAAAAGATAAGCAATACAATATTACAGCCTATGAATTTAAATGAAGACAAACGTAAAACTCTTAAGATTCAGTCATTAGTGATGAACCTGATCCCAGACCTGCTGTCAGGGGAAACAGGAAGTGAAGTTTTTTGCTGAAATATTTGGTGTTTTGTTTTGTTGTTTTTTTTCTTTTCTCCATCACAAGGAAGTGAGGCTCAAAGGATGAGAGAGTCCCAGTCAAAGTCATCCTGGAACTCCTCACTGTTGCTGTGCAGGTTCTTCAGTGGAGGACGTTGTCGTGGCGCCCCGGGCTGAGGATGGATCCCTGCCGAGACGCAAAAGGGAAACATGAACTGAAAGTTTAGACCTCAAAGGAAGTGAGAGATAAAAAAAAAAGATTTCTATTAACTTCTCCTTTTCAATTGTCGCAGTGACAAACTGCCTCTCGGTTTTCACAAGGCCAAAATGGCAAAAGGGATGGATGCATCAACACTTCCAGAAACCTTCAAAAAGTTCATTCATTTGGGCAATTCAATGTCATTTCACACATTTTGATGCTTTGATTTCTTTTCAAATAATGAGTCGTAGTTGATGAAAACCTCAAACTCTGTTTCTCAGAAACTGGGCAGATTAAAAAATATGTATATTTAACACAGTTATGGAGAGGACTGTGCCAGTAGATTCAGCAACGCCACAAAAAGTTAAGATGGATTTATCCAAGGATATTAGGAGAAAGTTGAGTGGAAGAAAACAATATAGAAGAAAGCAGAGTTATAGACATCTCCACTTTCTTTGCAACAATGGAATTTGAAAAAATTGCTAAGAAATGATTAAAGGTTCATGTGTTCAAGCTGTGTGTATTTAAAACATACTTGATCACTCATACACTAAATGGCTACACTTTGTGTATTTCCTTAAGGGTTAAAATGATATTATATAAACATAAAGTGTCCTCAAATGAACGATGTTCATATTCCAAAATATTTTTCCAAAATAGTGCAACACCTTCTAACCTTTTGCTCTTTATGGTATTGAGTTGGAGTGAAAGTGTAGATTATCTTCACTCTGGTGGGATTTTACAGTGAATACTATTTAAATGATACATCGACTGAAGGGACCAAATCTGCCTGTTTGGATCTAGGAACTGCTTACGAAGAGTAATATCTGTGGGAGTGACAATGGTTTGTTGGGAAAGGTTTGTAACTCTTGAGTCCTTAGCAACAGCATAGCAACACGGTTCGGATACATTTTTGTCAAAAATTTTCTTAAAACAAATTGTAATTTTAGGCCAAAAGGTAAAATATGTTTGGCGTAATTGCTTGACAGCTTGAATAACTTTTCTATCTGAAAATATGGAAGTACTTTGGTTTCAAAGTGCACATCGATTGAGAAGGTTCTTTATGTTGGAAATAAAAGTCTGAATAAAAGTTATGAAATGTGTGAAGTTTGAATGGTTGAAATAGGAAAAGAGAGAAAAAAAAAGCATCTCAATCTTGCAAATGTTTTACATTATGTGTGTAAAAAAAAAAAGCTGATAAAAGGTCAAGATTTCCTTGAAATTTCCCTAAAATCAGCTTAAAATGTCTGCTGCTCACCAGCTGCGTTCGCCAGATGTGGTCTCTGTAGAGCGGGCCCCTGCATGGGTGGGGGTCTCCGGGGCAGCTGTGTGCCATTGGTGGGAGGCAGAGTGCTGGGGTAGGGCAGGGGAGAGGGGTGAGTGAGGCTGGTGAGGGTCGGAGGAGGGTTGGACGTCAGCGGCGACGGCTGCAGGAAGTGAGGTGCACCATGGGTAACTGGGGAGTTGTTTCCAGGGCTGATCATGCCTTTCTGAGAAAAGAAGCGGTTCAGAGAGTCGCAGAGGGAGGTGAAGAGGCCGGGGTCGAGGGCCCAGTCGCACAGCTCAGCCTGCTTCATGCTCTCCAGCAGGTCTGGGATGCAGAAAATAAAGACACCTTTGTTAAAATACAGAAGATCCGGTGACTTTTACTGCAATACGTACAACGAAGCCCTTGGTTGAATTTCTGAAATGAATCAACTGTTCATAAAAGAAAGGAATAATCTATAAAATCCTGTATCCTGTATTCAGTTATGTATACTTGAATAACTGTTGGGGGGAGGGAGGGAGAAGAGTACTTCAAGGGGTAGTTTTACTACAACCTGCATTATAGTATCATTGCTCTTACTTGAGTAACATGTGTAAGTACTCTCCTCACCTCTGGTCATAATCACCAAATTAACATAAATAAACACTTTAAACTTATTTAGCTTATGTGATGAAGCTCTCTATGCATTCAGTTTATGAACTGAATTACAAAAAACATATATCCTTTTAATTACATCTTGATTGGTGTCAGGGAAACAGGAAGTGGGCATTGACAAGAGAACATTTGGAGGCAGATATCCTAGAACCTCGTTATGTAAATCAAAAGCTCTCCCATGACAGGAGGGGACAAAAATGTTGTGAACTGGCCCTTTAAATCCGATGGTGGCGAGCAGCACAGACCTGGGTGACTGGACAGGTCTATGTTTGCCCAGTCCAGATTGCTGGCGATGCGGAAGCTCTCCTTCAGCGAATCTGTGTTGCTGAACCAATCGGCTGGCACCGCTGCAGTGGGAGGAGGGAGGCAAGAAGGGAGGGAAACTTTTTTTTAAAAAATGAAAATACTTTTTGTTTTAGTCATGTTGCAGGTTTTATTGGCGGTAGATAATCTCAGGGTCGAGATATTAACGTGAGACTCACTGAGTTGCGAAACGCGCTCCGACTCTGCGGGATGTGGAGCTTGCACGGCCGCCGCGGCCGGTGGACCTGCAACCGGTTGCTGACCTGCAACTGGCGGTGCAGTCAGCGCAGGCGCGGGGTGAGGGGAGAACGGCGGCAGCGTTGGGGTGTGAAGAGGCGTAGTGTCGTTACTGGGAACAAGCAGGGGAGCGACGTCCGCTTCAAGGGAAAAGAAAACAAGTGATTCCTCCGAGTCGCTCATGTGTGTCGCGGTTGTGCGTCTTGAACGGGCCTGCATACTCACAGATGGAGCCTCCCCTCTCACGCATCGTCTTGAAAAGGGACTTGAAGGAGGCGTACAGGTCCGGTATGTTCAGGTCCTCGAAGGAGAAGCGCAGAGGAGGGTCGGCGGCGTGGTGCCCCGACGCCGCCGGAGGTGGGGCGGGGCAGGAGGAGCTGGGAACGGACACGGTGCAAACGGGCGTAGAGCTGGAAGTGCAGGAAAAAGTGGGAACGGGTAGAGGACCCGAGTTGGCGGGAAAGGACAGGGCGGAGTTGGAGTAAGAGGGAGCAGCTGCAGACGCTGCAGGGACAGAAAAGGTGGAGCCAGGCGGGAGGGGAGGAGGGAAGGAATTGATGGATGACATGGGGGCTGCTGGCGGGAGCTCAGCTGATTGAGAAACAGATAAATGGGAGGCAGGTAGAGCAGAGGCATGGGCTGACATGTAGGGCGACGGTTCCTGCGAAGACGAAGATGAGACTTCTATGTAAAACCCGTCAGACGTGGCTGTAATATGAGCTGGAAGGGAAGGAGGGAGTGAGAGAGTCTACCTCGTGAGGAGACGGAGGGTGCTGGGTGGGTCTGGCTGGGGACGTGGTGAACTGCGGGTCCAGGTGGGGAGAGGGCCCTCTCACCGCTGCCGCCTTTGCAGGTGGAGGAATCTGTAAAAAGCACAGAATCAGCCTTTAAAGCGTGGATAAGAAGAGGAAATCCCACAGGAATGCAGCATTACGGCATGCACAGAACAAAACAAAAACAAGAGTCGAGTCTGCGCTCCGGTCCTACACCCACGCTCTGAACGCAGAGCAGAAAACTGTGACTAACCTCCAAAACCTGTTCACAGGCTGACGATCTCTCACATTTAAAAAATGAAGCACAGGAATATTATTTCACACCAGGAAAAGTGAAGGAAAAGCTCTTAAAGTGCATCTCTGGGAAGCAGTGAGGAGTATCACCAGACACAGACACACACCTGCAGTTTTTTGCTAAAGTCTCAAAAGTTTTAAATCAAAAGAAAATGTTTCTTTTGCCCGATTTTATTTTGTACTTTGTTGTTCATAAAAATTACCTTCAATGTCCTCTAAAATATCAATATTGTGATCTGTCTGATGATGCAATTCTTAAGCATAAATAATTGATGATTTGATCAGCTACACAGTATTTGAGTGACCTTTGCACCAAATACTTTTTTTTTACTCAAACTGGAGTCATTTCTACGTTTTACCCTTACTTGAGTAAAACCGTGTTGAAGTAGCGCTACTCTTACATGAGTACAATTTTTTTTAGCACATTTTCAAGTGAAATTGTACAATTATCCCAGTCCAAGAAGGAAACTACACAAAGACTGAGCCCTGCTATCTATTTCAGCCAACTGTTTCCAGGACCTTCTCGTCATGGTCCATATCTATTGACCACAGCGAAGGTCAGAACAAAGACGGACCGGTAAACTGAGAGGTTCACTAATTAACTCAGCTCTTTTTCACCACAACAGCGTCCGCATTACTGCAGACGAACAATCAACCTGTTAATACAATTCCCGTTACCATGTAGAGTGAGCCAGGCCCTCTGCTACTTTGAGGCAGAGGCTGACCTCTGACCCAATGGGAGCAGTTCGCCTTCCTCTGGTTAAGCGCAGTGACTGCAGAAGAATTAGAGACGGCCGTCTCTTTTCAGACCGTAACGTGGTGAAGGGGTTTGAGTTCAGGGTTCAGACTCACAAGGTGAAACTGCTCACCACTGAGCACCTGGTAGTTGAGAGTTTAAACCAATAAAATTGATTTTTTTTGTTCTTATCTTAGTGAACAGATGAAGTAGTCTCCCTTTAAAGGAGTAGATCATCACTCAACTCTTCAGCCTGGGAAGCCGGAAGACTTGAATAGGCAACGAGTGTGACTCCTTGGTCAGCAAAGTCTGTCCACTAGCTGAATTTGGTTTCCATGGTGACAGAATATAAGCTTTTTCTTGTGTGTGCAAAAGTCTTGAGTCGGCTTTCTGCGGTGGTAATCATAAACGTACTTTAGTCTTTGGCTTCTTTTTTTTTTTTAACTCATAATTAAGCAAAAATAAATCAACTTCTGCATTTATTCCTTTATATGTGACCACAGCTTGAACCGGAAGGCAGCTGAATGACATCGTAGCCGCCACACATTGACACTAGAGGACTAAACTAGACTCGGAAAAGGCAGAAAAAACTCAAAAGAAAAACGATGAAAGACCTTCAGGAAGCCGTTTGAAATCTGAGCAGAAAAATAAAGGGTTTTGTTCCACTTTTAACACATAACACAACTATGTAATTGGTCTGCAAAACACGAGCATTTTAAAGGTCTTTCAATTTAATGGTATTGATTAAAAAAAAAAGACATTCCAAATCATTTTGGGTTTCTGTAAGATCTTATGGACACAGGTGTCAAACTCAAGGCCCGGGGGCCGAATCTGGCCCATGGTAGCTTTTAATGTGGCCCACTAGAATCCAGAGAGTCACATTAAGAACCACATATACACGCCTTCAAAAACAGTTTTGTGCTTAATTTTTTTGTTTTTCAATCAAATCAAAGTAGTTCCAATTTCTTTTGTGCCAAATTACATCAAGGTGAAAAGATGTTTAATACGGTCTAATTTTAAGCAGTAGTCGTCAAATGTTATTTCTTAATATGCTATGTTTGATAATAAGTACGTTATCAACACATCATGGCACAACCGGCCCTTTGAGAACATTCATGGTCTTGATATGACCCAAATGAAAATGTGTTTGACACCCCTGTGTTAAGGGGCTTCGCTGTTTTAATGGGCTTGGCAAAGAAAGGTTTAGACATTATTACAGCCCAAAAATGAAATGTATATATATATATGTATGAATAAAACATGAGTAATGTATGGATGTAATAATTAAGATCAACCATACATGCTGAAGCTCCTCTTCCTCTTCCTCCTCAGGATAGGGGCGCTTTGGAGCCCTTGCCGGACTCATGGACTCTGGAGGCCCATCCATCGTCCAATAGGAGCCCTGGAAATACAGGATTAGTTTGTTTGTTTTTTTTTTTGTTTTTTTCAAAACCATTTCTTTATCCTACAAGATGAACATTCCCACATAAGCGTGCTAAGTGACAGCCCACCTTGCCGGGGTCATTCTGTGGCCGAGGAACTTTCCTGAAGCATTTGTTCAGGGACAGATTGTGCCTGATGGAGTTCTGTTGAGATCAAGAAGATTCAGGTGATTCAGTTATGATAATGTTACACTCTAGTATCACGTGGATAGAGGTAGAGCTTGCCTTCCATCCTCGGCCGGCTCGGCTGTAATAAGGGAAAGTGTTGCTTATCCAGGTGTAGATGTCGTTTAAGCTCAGCTTCCTCTCTGGTGCAGCTGCTATCGCCATGGCTATGAGGGTGGCGTAGCTGTGGGGGGGTTTCCCTTTACAGTTTGATGGCGAGGGGCTCGGCACTGACGGCACAAAGTCGCCCCTCTCTCTCCCTTTGTCTCTCCTTCTCTCCCTCTCCCCTCCTCTCTCTTTCCCCGAGCGCAGGCTGCTGACTCCCAGTTTGGGCAGCCAGTCAATGCTGGTGAGACTGGAGTCCAAGTCAGAAGACATTTCTTTTCTTATTTCCTCTGTCCAGGATCTGGAGGACCAAAGCACGCAGTACTGGATTAACATTCCCTACAAAGTTTTTTTTTTTTCTTTTTCTTTTAAGAAACAGTGACCGGTCCCAGAGGAGATGCCCGTCAGCCTGAACTATGAGAGACTCGGCTGCTCTGTTCCTGTTCCTCCTGCCAGCGTCTCTTACAAAACAGTTTAGCTCACACACAAGACACACTGTGCCGCTCTGAGAACTTTTCCATCAACAAGCAAAGACACGGCGAGCGTATGCAATCATGCAAATGTGCCACCTCCACCTCTGCTTGTTGTTTTTTTCTTTTGAAAGAAGAAGGCCGACTTTGCTTACCTTTCTTTGGTCACTCGAGGCCCAGGGCCTTGAGAAGTGTTAATATTTTATGCTGTCATCAGCTGTGCACGTCTGCTGTCAAACTGGCGCCTTCCCTCCACCGTCGGATCTCCCTCCTCAGCGCAGCGGCGTCCTCCGGGAAACCGAGCCCACCTTCCGTTTGAGAAAGCTTGTGTAACTTTGAAGAAATATACACAAAATACTAATCGGAGAGCTTCCTTTTTCTCTCCTTCTGCCCTTCCCCTCCCTTTCTGACTTTACCAGAAAGACGTCACTCACTCCTCCCCCGGTATGAGCTCACTTTCTGCTCCCGCCTCTGGGAGAAGGTCCCTCCTCCTGGGCCCGTCAGGTTTGCATTGCAAAGAAACACGTGAACTTTCCACCACACTAAGTCAACACATCACATATGTGGAGGGTGGGCAGACTGAGACGAGGACAAAACCCACAGGACAGAGGGGTTAAAGCAGAAGCAACGCTTTATTGAAGTCCCTGTGTTAAAAGGCAGAGGGTTGTACAGTGGAACGCAACAACATGAGGCGATCTCTCTACAGAGCGCTGAAGAAGGCGAGGAGGCCGGTGTCAGGAGACGGCTGGGCCAAGAGCTTCTGGATCTGCCAACAAAGATCAACATTTGTTATTTGAACATAGTCATAAATAATCCAGCTTGTGTGTGCGTGTGTGTGTGTGTGTGTGTGTATGTATATATATATATATATATATATATATATATATATATATATATATATATATATATAGTCTAAAGAAATATTAAAACTGTTATTCTCTGGATATTGATTTTTCAGTTTTTAATTTTTACTTATCAGGACATGATCAAAGATCTCTCCATTACCAGGCTGTAAAATGACCGTGAAGTGTAAAAAAAAAAACCAACAACAACAACAAAACACCGTCCTCTTACTTATTAAACAAAGATAAAGTTCCTGCAGAAAACCAGTGAGAGGAAACCTCAACTGCTTATTATTACATTTAGCGGCAGTCACTTGCAGCAGTTGTTTTCTATTGGATTTTCGTAGGGTTAATCTCTCACATTCTCGAGGAGGAATCTTTGGTCTCTTCCTGTTTATGTAACATTTGCTTCTTTGCTTGCATGACCCAGTTTCAATCAAGCTTTAGCTGAAGGAGCGATGACCTCAGATTTGACTCCAAAATACATGGAGAGTTTATGGATGACTCACTGTCCAGGTTCTGTATTAGCAAAATAAGCCCATATCATCATACCTCCACCACTGCGCTTATAAGTTGATATAAAGCTTTTGAGCTTATGTTCTGTGTTTGGATATTTTTCGACATCCTCACTTTGGTCTCAGCTGACCCAAAAACATAGTTTCAGAACTCTTGTTGTTCAATGAGATGCAACTTTGCAAACCTCTTAAGACACTCTTTTTTTATCTTTACTGTAATAAACAATTAGCAGAAGTCTAATAGTGTGATGTGGAGCTCTTGGGCTTTTACAATCTTTCACCTGCATGCTCCAAATTGCTAAATATCTACCTTTTATAGATAGAGCTACAGAAGTTTTTTTTTTTTTCTTCATTTGGCTTTTCCATTATAGCTTTGTTTTTGTCTGATATCTTTGGGATCTGTTGTGTGCTTTTTATGGACTCAAAGTTTGATTTAAATAACTGGATCCTATTAGAAAACAAAAAATCTTAATATGTCCCGATGAATAAAAGGCCAGAATTGAAACAATTTGCACTTTGTTCATATCACGGCTTTATAAACTGAATTTGATATGAATTAGAGAGAACACATCTCATCATACATTCACTGGCTTTCTACTCATTCTAATATCAGTCATAGGATTTTCTTGTATAGGGTAGAGATCACTCACAAGCAGGTCCATAAACCATCCACTGTGGCTCTTAATAACTTTGGTCAAAAATGCTAAATAATTAGTGTTTTACATGGTAAAGGTAATTTTAAAAATCCAGTTTTTGCGGAATATATTAAAGGACTTTCCATAAAGAATGACACTAGTAGTGTAAGGACGAATAATGTTTTCTGGTTGCAAAGTATGTGTTTTTTTTTTATTATTATTATTGTTTTGTTAAAAAGTTTAGGTTTCCTTGAGAAATGTGGTTCATTTCTTTTTGTGTAAAAGTTTGATAATTTTCTTTATCTTAAAACTTAAAAAAAAAATGTTTTCTCATTAAAAAAAAACTTCCTAAAGTAGATTTTGTTAAAGTAATCCAATTTGTTTCATGTAGATTTTTTTGGGTCTAAACAAATTTTCTTTTGCTGGACTAAAGACAAAAATGGCTCTCAAGGTTGTAAAAAGTTGCTGCCCCCTGGTTTAGAGTTTTACATTGTTTAGCTTTGATTTCTTTATCTGCTCTTAACATTTACACACATTGAAAGCCATATAATCCTCCATTCAGTTTATTTTTGTAGATATCCTTCAGTCCAAACAAAAACTGAATTTTGTCCATTTTGGTGACTTCCTGAACCTCAACATTTAGCGTACGTTCCTCTGCTGATACGTCATTTTTTTTTGTCCTGACATTTGATTTACACAGACCCAAAATACCTTTATTACTAGTGTTTTCACGCGAGTTTTTTTTTTTCCTTTATTCCTATTCTTTTGCATGTTGAATATGATTTCTTTATATATTAATATCCAGCTGTTTGGCTTAAATGTGAAGCATGTTGAGCAGATGTAATCAGGACCTCCTTAAAGTTGGGGTGTTTGGCGTCCTGAACGAGCTGCAGCAGGACGGCCTCTGTGGTGGTGAGGTAAGCCCCGCTTTGCTTCATTCGGGACAAAGCAAACAACCGATCCGTCTGGCTGCGGAGTGAAGCATAAGGATTAGACTAAATATTGTTGCAAATACAGAATGCGAGTGGGAAAAAAAAGTAAAAATCGACAGATACCTCCTGGAGGAAACGGCATCAGCCACAATATGGACCTCCATTCCCTTCTCAATAAGGTCATATGTAGTACACTGAGCAAAAGACAAGGAGGGAAGAATTTTTAATACTTTAATCTAAAAATATAACTGGCATAATCCTTCCTTTCAGGTAGGTTTCATCCTTTTCAACATTAACAATAAGCCTAAAGTCTGTAGTCTAAATATGACGCACAAACAAAAATATTAATAATTACAGCAATGCAGGCATGTGCTTCTATTCCACACAGAATGGCTTGTTTAGGGCTCCCCAGAGCCTCCAGCTCCTTCTCCACTTCTTCTATCATCATAGTGAAAGAGGTCTTAGCATGAGCGGTCAGATGCCCGGCCCCCAGCTCCGGCACAGTGGGTCCCAGGCCTTTAGGGTACTGCTCTGTCAAGATGGTGGGGATGCCCAGAATACGACTGGCCTGCAGGAGCAGTACACTGTTAGAGGCGACACATGACTACAAATAACAACAATAGCTCTTTGAAGAATTATGAATTAACAACATTTAATTTCCCTTTGGGATCAATAAAGTACTTTTGAATTTGAATTGAATTAAAATGAGCTGATGAGTATCAACGACCTGGAGGACCCGGGCTGCGTTGCCAACGATGTTGGTGAACTGGAAGATGTTGGGTCTGAACTTCTCCTGCATGTCACACAGGAAGAGGACAGCATCCTTGGTGGAGAGCCTTCCTACGTTTGGCACTGCAACAAAGACATCGCAAAGTAAGAAATAGAACACCTGGCAACAGCATCAGTTCACAACCAAGCAAATTTCAGTGCATTTGTTGGAACTGCACATGTTGAGGCAGCATGAAGTAGTGCATAGCTGTGAAATGAAAGGAAAATCATTCAAAATGTTCATGTTTTAATTTTTCAGATAAAAATCTAATAAGTTTAGTCGCTCTGAGTTAATACTTTCTAGAAGCATCTTTTGCTCTAGTTGCAGCTGCAGCAACCCTTTTGGATCTCTATCAGTTTGTACAATTCAGAAACTGACAGTTTTGCTCTGTTTATGTTCATAAGCAGAAATGATCTCAGTCAGCTCTGAGAAAAAACTAATACCAAAATGGATGCAAGGTCGTAGTTCGTGTTCTGCAAAGTAGCCACATGTAGCTGTCTGCAAATATTGTTTTTTTTTTTTAAAAAAAAACTAAATACTATAGTTTTTAACTCAAATACTGTGTGTATAACTTTTTTTTTTCCCAGTGGGTCATTGCATAACCAAAGAAAAGAAGCGATAAAAGAACAGCTGTGATCCTAAAATGAATCAAAGGTAATGTGACTTACTGTTTCTGTCCTGATGTGAGCAGAACGAGTGACAGGTTCAAGGGGACAGTAAAAAACATCAACTACCAGGTTAAAGTATTATTTCCCCTGTGACGCGTCCTGAGGGGAAATATTTACAAATTAGTTGCAAAGAAAAGTGGAAGAACTTGAACGCTGAACATAAATAGCCGATAATGCTAACCGAAGAATGAAAAACGTCTGTAAAACAGACATGTAACATACAAATAAAATATCCGAAACTAACCACGATAATCAGGGAAATACACGGACCACCAGACTCTACAATAAGTCCCACCTTTTCAAATAATAATGGCAAATAGAATTGCCTATTGCTCAGATTGACGTCTCTTTCAACCAATAGCAGGGAATGTTTTCTGCAACTAGGTTTGCTGAGCTGAGTGAAACCATAGTACAGTTCTCAGCTAAAGATGTCCGACAATGCTGAGTCTCCAACAGAAACACAGAAAGAAGAACTACATTCACCGTCAGAAAACTCCGCGACCAGTGAAGAGAAGAAAAAAAGTAAGAATGCCGAACAGATTTGACGCGAGTTACAAACAAGTGCTTTTATGTTTTTGATGTCTTGCTAATGCTAACGGAAGTGTTTTTCGAGTGGATGACGTAGATGATAATTGACAGAAGTTTCAACCAATAGGAAGAATGCATTTTGCTGTTCAGCCAATGAGCTGCGATATTTTAAACACGTGATAATTTTAGTTGCGGTGGAAAGCTAATGTTAATGCTAGTAAAGGCACAGCATTTACTTGTTCGTATTCTGTAAATATAACTTTGGATTTGTATTTCTTTGTATGCCTCCAGTGTAGTTTATGGCATTTTATATAATCTTAACATTTCCTGTATGTACGTAATGTCATAATTTGTAAAATAATATTAAAAACGTCCTGTTCGGGGTGGCTTCGTCTAATTTCAATCCATTTCGCAATTAAGTATTTTTAAAAAAAGACATTATATATAGCGGTGGTGCCCAAAGTAGACAATCGAGGGCCGGCATCCTGTATGTTTTAGTTCTCTCCCCGGTTTAACGCATCTGGATCTAATGATGGCTTATTAGAAGGCCTAAGAAGAAGATTGACATGCTGAGAAGGTTGTTTCTACCACCAGGGAGAGAACTAAAACATGCAAGATGCCGGCCCTTGAGGACCGACTTTGGGCACCCCTGATACGTAGTAAAGATCTGAGTGTCTGCAGCAGGGGTGGCCAAGTCCAGAGAGTTGACGTCCTGCAACTTTTAGATGCATCTCTGCTCCAGTAACCCTGAATCAAATGGCTAAGTTCATTCACCAGCAGCCATTCAGCCCTGCAGAGACCTAGTAACAAACTTTTTTTTTTCATTCAGGTGTGTTGGAGGAGGGATGCAAGTTGACATCGGCCCCTAAACATTACTGACCTTGCAGGGGTGTTTCCTGCTTTTCCCTGTCATACATTTCTCGTAAACACTGTGTTGCAACAGAAACTGGTTTCCTTAGATGTTTTTTTCTTTCTACTTTTACAGTTGATGTGCTGTTGAAGGCTGTGGGAGACACTCCTATAATGAAAACAAAGAAGTGGGCAGTGGACAGGGGGAGGACGGTACAGTCCCTCGCTCAATTCATTTCTCGCTTCCTCAAACTTGATGCCAATGAACAACTGGTGAGGATGAACTTTCCGTAGTATATTCGGAAAAAAATATGTAAGAAATTGACTTCTTCTGCTCTGTGAAGTCCTCACTCAGGCTGTTTGCTTTTTTTTCAGTTCATATATGTTCATCAGTCATTTGCACCATCGCCAGATCAGGAAGTGGGAGTCCTCTTTGATGTGAGTTTATAAACACTTATAATACATTATTGTGGTATTTTTAGTGTTTAAACATATTTTGTTTTTAAAGCAGAATACATGCACCTAATTTATGTATTCTTTTTCTATAGAACATTACAATATATAAACACAAACGGTACCTCAGCAGAAGCATTTTTATTTCTCCTGTTTATTTAAAGTGTTTAGTAATATTCTGATTTACCATTAGGATATTCTAGAAAATATTGCAATTTTTGCAGAGTGGGATTCCAGAGAGAAAAAAATTAAAATGATTTATAGATGCAGTACTTCCTGATTTTTATTGGAGTTGTGGTCTGGCTGCAGGGAGGAAACTATGACGGAATATTGTGGCCATTGTATATCAGGGAAAAAAATAATGTAGCCACGAAGAAGTACATTTTTGACAGAATTTCCATATTAACATATTTATAAGAAAAAATATATATATTTTCTGATGCCAAGTCTCAAGTTTCCATGAAATGATAGTTTTCCTTGAAAAAGGCATAAATTAACTGTATTAAGACAAAGATATTCTCTGACATTGTAAAGTCAGACATTTGAAAGGGTGAAATTAATATAGTTTGGAAAAAATTGACTCGTCTGATCACTTTTTTTAATGTACAATGACCCTAATACTGTAGCCATGATACTGTGTGGTACAAAACTGAATAATGGAGGCAAAAACATAAAAAAATAGGTTTCAGCTTAAAAAATAAATTACCCCCATGGATGTTTTACTTTTTTAATATTTTCACAAATTTTTATTTATTTATTTACATTTTTTTTTTACAAAGAATTTACACAACATATTTATACACTCAATTTTGCTGGAACTCTTTTCACTTTGACATTAATGTTTGTTTTTTTTTTGCTTGTTTTTTTTGTCAAAAAAGCTATATTTTGTTGATCATGGTTTATTTCCTCAAAGTAACAAAAAGGATAAAGCATCCAAGTGGGTGAAACTTTTGTAGGCAGTGCTTATTTCCCTCTTTTGCCCCTTCAGTATCAGTACAATGACAGAATCCCACTTTTCTGAGTTGACCAGCAGAGGGCGCATGAAGAGGGAAACTTTATAGACCAAAGCTTAAAATCCTCAGCCGGTTCTTTCAGAAGGTGACAGTAAAGGAAAAAAAAAACACAGACGAGCGTTGATTTTCCCTTTCAGCTGCTAAACGTGTTCTTTTTCTCTCAGATATTAAAATTCAAATTCAAAAATACTTTATTATTCCCAAAGGGAAATTAAATGTTGTTGTATCTCATTAATTCAGATTCTTCAGAGTTTTTGAAAATGGAGATTCTTTTCATTTTCATTGACATATAGTTTTTTTTTTTTTTTAATTCTCTATCACTGATTTTATTTTGCATTTGTCTTTTTCTCTGTCTCTCCTAGTGCTTCAGCAGCGACGGGAAGCTAGTTCTGCATTATTGTAAATCTCAAGCCTGGGGTTAACTTCTTCTTTCGATATTTACTGTCTCAGTTTGTATGTAAATACACTGTAAATAAATAATTGTAAACATTTTTCTATGGCCTAGTTTCTGTTTTCTTCCAACAGAAGTAAATGCTGATTCTTTTCATGCAGTTTGGGACATATTCAGAAAGATTAAAAAAAGAAAAAAAGCTTTAGAAAAGCTTAAGTCTGGACTGTTTACTGCAGGTGTTTATAATAAATGTTCAAGTCAATGGTGACTTGAACATTGACTTGAACATTGTCAATGTTCAAGGGCTAATTACTAAGCCCAGTAATTAGTTACTGGGCTTAGGGGGTAAATTATCTTAATTATTTTCCCTATTAAAGTCATTTGCAAACTGCTTTCTGTAGTTACTTAGGCCATCCTTCAAACAAAACCAAAAAATCAAGAGAAGGAATCTGTAAGATGACAAACTTTTTCACAGTGCTGTAAATCAGAAACTCAGGCTGGTGACTGAGTTGTGACAGATGTTTAGAAAGGAAGCACCTCTGAAATTACACCAACATGAAGAGAGGAGGCACCACAGCAACAGATGGATGCGGCGGGATTATGTGAGTCAGGGTGCGTATGTGACATAAACTCTAGAGAAAGGGAGTAGATTGGTGATTGGCGTGGAGGCAGATGCTCTATCTCTCCATCGGTTCACATCTACGTCCATCCGCTGGACCGGAGGCTTTACAGAAGAGGAGAGTGGAGCCGGGGAGGTAAGCAACAGCGAGGGACAATAACTGAGGCGATAGATGAAGAGTGTTACAGAGGCAATTCACCATGGAGGATTTAAGTTTAAGTTCCTAAGGAGCTTTTTGATCAAGAAATCTTTAACAAGAAGAGTCCAAGAAGTGATGGATTAAGTTTTTTCTTTTTTTTATGACAGGATATTTTGTATCAAGAAGCAAAAAAGATTTGGGGTAGGTACATTTAACATTAGAAAAATATATACTAAATCATTAAGAAATTACTGTTATAGACTGTTTTTTGTTTTTGTGGGAGAAGGAGCATCTTAATGCATTCTAAAAAAAAAAAAGTTACACCTATTGGTAGAGTTCTCATAATTCCTCAAATTGTATTCAGTTATAAATGTAAATATACATTTTATGATGTCTTATCAAGACAAGTAGCCATGTCTATTTATTTTTCTCACTAATCTTAAGATGAATGATTTAAAATTATTCACTTTAAATGGTAGAAAAAGCTGGAAATAAACCACTTGAATGCTTGATTTTAATTAAAATGACTATAGAAACAAAAGAGAAACATTTTTTTGAACAGAAAAGATTTGCTTTTAGGACATAAGCTGTTACCTATCATAAGCTAATTTCTTCGTTCAGTCAAGCCACTAAAAAAAGCATCGCTTCTCCACCTGCACCTCCTATAGTTTGTCAACTGTCCTAGTAAAGGAGAGGCCAAGCCCAGTCCTCGGTAACTACTGACCTGCAATTTTCAAATGGATCCTTGCTTCAGCACAGATGAATCAAATGGGTTCAGCTCTGCAGAGACCTGCTGACAAATCATTTATTCAATTTTGTATATTACTTTATTTTTAAATAGCCTCTTACCAGTTGGACAGGTACTAATATTGCTGAAACATTTTCACATTTTGCTGCAAACCTTTGTATATTTTGTTGGGATCTTAAGTGAAAAACCCAGAGTAGTGCATAATTGTGAAATGGACCATGCATTGGTGTTCAAAGCTTCTTACATATAAAAATTTGAAAAGTGTGACACACTATACTCACGAGTTAATTCGTAGGACCATACTTGTAGCTACAAGTATTTTCTGGTGGATCTCTACAAGCTCTGCACTGTTAGAGAGGAAAATCGTAGCCTGCCTCTCTGCAAAAATATCGCAAGCTAGATTGGATCTCAAGCATCTGTAAACAGATATTTAGAATTTTGTCCCAGAATTTTAGCTTGTCGGCAATCGCTGTCAGAGTAAATATGCATTTCAAATTTTATTTATAAATAATTTTGAATAATATATAGTGTTTTCCTTTCATAATCAGGCACAATTATCACATAAAATCCCAATAAGACATATAAAAGCTGTGTTATGTGATGAAATGTGAAGCTGTGACGGATATAAACACTTCTGCAAGGCACAATAAATGTTTTAAAGTACTTAAAAGGCTTGTGTAGCATTTATTAAAGCAGTGTTTTATTTTAGCTGAGCACAGCAGAACTACAACTGCTACAATAAAGCATTAGTAGCTGCTAAGTGTCCCCACTGCACATCTTGGACTGTGTTTCAGTCCATGAGATCTTCTTTTTTAACGGGGCTAAATTTAATTTAATTTTTTTTTTTTTTTTTTTTTACCGTTTTCTTTCCTTTCAGGGGCCGTGGACTGACAGAGAGGCCCTGCTAGAGACACAACATGGTCACACTAAAATACAACTAACACAGAGAGATTAAAGCAGATTTCCCAAGATTATCTCGAGGGGGAAAAAAGGCGTTTAAATCTGTGTCTCGTCCATAGAGTCACAAAAAATAAATATTTTGTAATGTGCCCTGGTGTCTAGTCCTAAAAGTTCAGCTGGAGCCACCATAGGAGGCATAATGATATTATTGACAGTCAAGTCACTTTGTAAAATCTTCCCATAAACAAGTAAAGGAGTCTTTTTTTGGGGGGGCGGGGGGGTTGAGCTGAAAGAGCATTGATCAAGGATAAATGTTGCCATATGTTGTTAATGTTTCTTGACAGATAAAGAAGCCTACTTAGCTTGTAGAATGTATTACATAACACTAAAGTCCCCTTTGCCTTTCTGATGCTGCCCAGTCACTGATCTAATACCACCTCAGACAGAAGTTAAGGTCAGGGGATTTCTGGACATTTCAGTTCCCAAGAAGACCAGTCAAAACTTGCTCTTTCTTTACATATGAATCAGCCTCAGAGTATCTTATCCTGCTGCCGACTCCTTTTTGAAATCACAGATGTTGCCATCTAGCTCCGTTGGCTGTGTTTGTTCATCTGTGAGGTCAGATTTATCATCGCTTCCTGCTTAAAGCTGGCAGATCAACTCTTAAAAACCAAACCAAAGCATCCGCCCCGACCTGTCCGATCTGTTACTGCCCCTCTCCTACTTGCCTTAAATTCCCCTGTGTTGTGTCCACCTGTCGCTGTCCCGCCTCCCCCTGCCTCCCTCCTCCGTCTCGTGGCCATGCTCGAGCGTCTGTCCCGCCGCTCTCGATCCATGCTTTCCCTGACGTTAACCTCTTTGGCTCTGGCCCTGTCCATCCTGGCTCTCTGCACCTCCTACTGGTGTGAGGGCACCCACAAGGTGGTCAAGCCTCTCTGCCTGTCGCCTGTCAAGATGAAGAACTGTGGTCAGAACAACAGTGAGCCTTACACAACAGGTAATAGATGCTACACATATTGCTTTATTGTGTTATTTAATGTGTGTCGCAGCTTTCATTGATATTTTAGGAATGCAGGCAGTTTTTAGCAGATGTTTAAGCAAAAGAAAAACTTTGTGACAGTTTTACATAATTTTCCTACTTTAACACAAAGCAACGAAAACAGATGTATTAACTGATCTACTAACATTTCATGAATCCTTTAATTTATTTTCTAGTCCATAAAACACTTCACATTTATGTTTAAATGTTTAAAGGGAATCTGTTATGCAATTTGTTTTTATTTTTTTTTTACTTCCATTTGGGTCTCAACTGCTTCTAAAAACAGCCCAAGCATAAGAAAGAAATAAAAAATCCATCCGGCTGTTTTCTGGCAATAAGTTAATGTTTTTTGATGTCTGGAAAATGAGCTGTTTCAAAAACCTCCCGACTGTTCAGTTACAGCCCGTCACCTAGCAACCAAAGCCGCTCCAGCATGTTTGGTCAGCTGGTTTTACCTCTGTGTGTGCTGCTGGAAAAGACACATGGTCTGCTGTTGACTTACCATTCAGAAGTTTGTTGCATTCTTGTTGGTTGCACAGGAGGCTCTACTTTTGCTTTTCAAAGATGTACTGTCGTATAGTTGCACATCTGTTTGCAGCCATTTTCACGTGTGAGCGTAATCATTGAGTTGGGGAGGAGGGGGCGTGGCCAGCGGCAATCTATTTGGATTTAAAGTGACAGATGTTCCTTTCAGAACGAGCTGATCTGAAAGGAGCTCAAAACGGCAGAACTGACCAAAGTCTAATCTCATTAGCTAAAAATGATTTTGTGCAAAATATAATGAACTTTTGTGTAGCTCAACATATCCCAAAACACACAATCAAACACAGATCAATAAATACAGGAATAGATTGATTAAACACAGGTTGTATTGGTAGTAAAATTCATACCAAGTATATAATTAAATTTTGACTTTATGACTTGTTGTTTGCTCAAAATATCATTCATCCATGTATCCATCCATCTTTTTATTGTTCCCATTACTGAACACTTTGAGATTTTGCAATGTGAAGTACATTACAAATGAAAGTATAATTATTATTATTTTTTTTATGTCTCTTTAGTCATGATTCAAATTCAATGAAAAAGCTTCGGGAAAGTACAGTGCATGTTTGAGTATCTGTGTTAGATGAGATCCTCCGAAAGCTTTTCATAAATGCCTGACCCGGAGTTATTCACCAAAAACCCTCATCTTGAATTTCAGATTAGTTTATTGAGTGGTGATGAACTTTTGATGAATCTTTCTGTCTTTAAACCACCTCTGCGTAACAAGCTGTACCTAGAAATAATCTGGATAGAACATCGGTCCTGTACAGACAATCTTTTTTCTCGTTTTAATCTCTTTTGTCAGAAGGTGAGTTCCAGGGCAGGGTTAATTGGGATTTAGTAAAAGTCTTTGGGTTGTGATGACGCTTTCTAAACATTTACTTGTCCACTGAGGGCACGATGATACCGGCCTGATCTCAGCGGTTTGTGTTAAGCTTGATCCACAATGAGATTACTTTGATCACTACTTGTTTTATGTTTTATTGGTGGAGAGATCTGCTTTTATTGACGCACACCGTTATGAAAACCTCTTTTCAGAAAAGGCACATGGCCCACTGAAGTACGCGTTAACAGGGATGAATGTGACTTTATTGTTCATGTGGATGCTCGGATAAGTTACAGTTGTTATGTCTTTAGGTGTTTCTGTGTTGTTTGGACAGAGTTATTCTGTGTTGTTTGGACAAAGTCCCATGAAAACCCTTTGGTTTTCATGGGACTTTGGTTGTTTTTGCAGATCTTTAGAGGCCTTGTATCCCTGTCCCTTGAGGTATTTTTGGGTACCAAAGATTGTTTTAAAAGCTAGCTGGATGTACAGTATAAGCATGCTGTGTCCTCATCCCCATCAGAAGGTTGATTTTGTTCCTGATTCAAGGTGGACTCCACCAAACTGCCCCTCGTTACCAATCCTCTTTGGTAACGAGGGGCCTTCTTCGTTTGAAAACTTTGGAGTCTTGCATTTGCTTCTAACAGATTATTTGCTGGTTCTTCAGGCCATGTCCTTCAATGGGGACTGGAGTGGTTCATGAAAAAAGTACAAAGTTATTTTAGTCAGAAGTCATGGTTCTTAGCTACAAACATGTGAACCTCTTCCTCTGGATTGTGGTCTCTGCCTTAAGCGAAGGAGTTCAAGTCCCTTGGTGCTACAAATAAATAACACAACATAACATCACATTACAAAATAACAAATCCAAGCAGAAGAAAAACTTTTGCAAATCAAATTTGTTTAATATAAAACTTATACTCAAAGTAGGATGTATTAATAAATGTCAGAACAGAGTAAACTATTTACACTTTATAGGTGTTTACTGTTCTTGTTCTATCTCCAAATGTCCCAGAAGGCTCAGCAGAGAGAAAATAACATTCAGTGTTTGTGTATAAACAAGAAGTCTCACTTTAACATAAAGTATAGGAGTGTCTGTATTTAATTTTTGCTTGTTCTTCATTCAGTGAAGGTACTCGGAGTGGGCAGAGTATCCAGACATTTTATTCAAGAGTAGCGATACTTCGTAATCATTTTAAGCAATCATTAAGTAAAAGTAAAATATGCAGTAAAGCTGTAAAATTTCAGTAAAATCTGTTGTTGCTCAATTTATTTTAAAAGTATTTGCTGAGGAATGAATGTTTTGACTTTTTTAGCATGTCATTTTTTTCTCCATTAGTTTGCTGTTTATGTGTCCAAATGTAGAGTATGGTCAAGATAATATGACTTTTATTTTACTGTGCTGCACATAAAAGCTTAGAAAGATAGATTCTTTATGAGGTGCAAAGACTGAATGCTAACAAGGTGGAAAAGTAAACCTAAAAAGCTTAATTTGTCTCCTGTCACACAGAGAGCCCCACACAAAACCCTTTCAACCGCACACTGTCTCCAGCCAGAAGAGATGAGCTGGACAAGATCAGACAAAGACAGCTGGCCAATGCTGTACACTACATCTGGGAGACAGGGGAGGACAAGTTTGCCTTCAGATATTTCCACACAGGCTTCTGGGAAAGCTGTGAAAAGCAGAATGATGGTGAGACCAAGATGCACGTTGTGGCCCCATCATATTAGCTCATCTTGTAGAGAGAAGCTGGTGTGTTAGCTGTTAAAGATCTTTATGATCATCTAAATCTGCACATGCTGTTGGCAGGAGAGGTGTGTCGCAGCTTTATCGACTTAACTCCAGGCGAAACACAAGGTGAGCGGTGTTATAGAAATTTATTTCATGCAATATATGCCGTTTCATTTAATGCTTCTTTGCATCTGTTCCCACATGTTGCAGGTGTGCTTTGGCTGTCGGTTATTTCTGAGTTTACATATATCGGCCTGCTGGGGATGGGCTTCTTACTGATGTGCCTGGAAGTCATGTGCTCCCACAAAGAGATGCACGCACTAAAAATCAATGCCTTCGCAGCTATTTGTACTGTGCTATCAGGTGGGGGTGCAGCTTGGATTACAGCGCCAACCTCAAGTGTTGGACCCCGGTAAAGATGTGGAAACACTCTTGAAATAAATTCATCTTTTGTCGCAGGAAGATAATCTCACACTGAAACTTTCAGAGAAGTGCAACACTTGAGCACCGGAATTGACAAACGCATGAGATGGTTACAAGAGAATAGCTACCTATCCATATTTACTCATATATGCCAAATGATAATGTGAAAACCTGAAGCAACTTCAACTGTGGCAAACAAGCCTGGGTAACGAAGTACACTGCTCCAAAAAATTTAAGGGGGAAGGAAGTAAAAGAATCTGCAAAACTCCACTTTAGAAAATCACTGCCATCTTAGAGTCACCAAATCTGCTTAACCACTGGACACTATCTACATGCCAACTTGATTATTTAGGACACATAACAGGGAAAAGCCTCTATTATCACACTATCACAACTGGAGTTTGATAAAAGCTACTGAATTAGTGCAACGGGCTTTGGTCAAATGAGAGTAAAACCGTTGTCACATTGATTCCTATTTGCCATGTAAGGCCTACTGGAGACAGGAAATTTGTTTACCATCAAGTTGTGTCACTTTGAGATGTGGGTTTTGTCACTTTTGTTGGATTAAATACATTGGTCGTTTGGGATTAAGAGTGCAGACTTTACAGTGTTCTTCTGTGTCTGGATGGGGTACTAAACTTTGGTCATGATGTTATTGTTTTGTCGAACTTCAGGCCACTTGGAAGAGACATTTTAAAGCTATAAAAATGCTCCAAGGTGCTCAAGTAATTATTAGCTGACTCAGTTACAAAGTGGGTCAAGCTGCGAAGGTGAGATTAAATCAAGTTATTAACGTGTCGTTGCTGCAAAATTTCAGTTACAGTTGCATCAGTCCTTCAGCAGTGGCATACATGTACGATAAGAGTATCACAAAGTTAACAATGAAATGACTGCCTGAATTCAGTGAGAGGTTGCGTTACTGCAGTTAAACATGAATTTATTTGGAGGCTTTTTGCACACCTTTTCCCTGGGCACTCTAGTGTTTGAACGGCAGTCCTAGTTTTTCATTTTGGTTTGCTTCCTGCGTAGGTCTTCTTGGGATGGTAGCACATATGATGTTCACCACAGTATTTCAGATGACAGTCATTGTGGGCCCTAAAGACTGGAGGCCTCAGTCCTGGGATTACGGCTGGTCGTTTGCGTATGTTGCTGCTAATCAAAAACAGAATTCAAACTCAGTTATCTATGTGCTCTGAGGTTTTGGCCGCTTATCTTTGAATCGTATTTTTCAGTCTTGCCTGGGTGTCCTTTAGCTGCTGCATGGGGGCTGCTGTCGTCACACTCAACTCCTACACCAAGACCATCATTGAGATCCGCCGCAGGCAAAGACTCCGCTTGGACGAAGCAAGAGCCGCTGCTCGGGCCCCGTCGTATGACGAGGTGGTTCCAGGAGGAGGGCTGTACTCCGTCAGCGGCCTGCTGCACTGTCCGGATGGGATGATCGACGTGGCATGGGCCCCAAATGGCAGCGTGGTCGGAGTGGGAAATGGGGACGTGCCGACACTGGTTTTAGTGGGAGGCTGTGGCCCAGAGGGGTGTGAGGACTGCGAGCGTGAGAGGGACCAGATGGGCGTGGCCTTGGACCGGATTGATTCACCTTGTTAAGGAGGGCCAGCTATTCACATAAACTAAAAGGGAAAAAAATAAAAAATAAAACACTGCATTGTTGCAGTGATCAGAGATGCTGGTTTGCTTTGACTTTTGATTCCTTGGAACACATTTATGAGTCAAAGGTCAATGAAATTGCTAAACAGAGGTGGAAAGTGGGTGATGAATCGAGTCACCACCTGATTTAAAATGGAGGCTTCTTGCATTATGACTTGCACTGAGAGAAACATCCAACCTTCACTCTGCATCAACCTGTGATGTCTGCTGTGTGACTGCAAGTAGCATCTGACTGCTTGTTGCCAAGATTCAGGTATATTTGGAGTTTGAAAAGGTCTATCGTTGCAGCAGACCTCTCCCAGTTCTTAGGTTTTGACACAGAGATGCTTAATAAGATGGTTAATAAACAAAGAAAGGATGCTGCAATAGAAGCAGCAGCTGACAAAAGAAAGCAGTGGAAAATGACATAAATATCCCATTTTAATTATATTAAGCTATTGTTTCTTCATATTCAAAAAAAGACTCAAGTGGGTCTCACAGGCTGTAAACGACGCCCACTCAGTTAACTCATATCAAGACGTGAAGACTTCGAAGCATGCATCGCATGAAAATCTGCATGTTATGTGTTTCTGTGCCTGATGATGGCAAAGCAAATGTATGTTTCTACATGTAAAAATGCTAAAATGTTTACCTTACTTTATTGGTTACAATGGACACCCATCCATTCGCAGCTCAGTGTTGGCAAATTCACATATTGGCAAATATTTTGTGGAACGTGGCTCAAAATTATTTGTGGAATTAACTTTTTGCTGCGTGATATTAAAGATATTAAAAAACAGAGCTTGGGAAGGTAAAACACCTAGGCGCAGTACCACCTGACACACTACTGGATGATGTTTGCAAAGTAGTCAATCCTTGTCGCTGATTGGCTGAACTCCTAAGAGCGGAAACATGGAAGACTGAAAATATTGGTTTTTGTAAAAGTGCCAAGATTGTTCTGACTGTGTGTTTTAATGCATACTTGGGAATATTTGGAGTTTGAACAATTAAAATAGGCGATTATAAGCATTTTAGAGAGGAACTCAAATATTTGCAGATTTAGGTGATTTTTGGTCCACTATATACCTTCAAGTCAGCAATTAATGTCACACTTTTGTCTCAACAGTATATAGAATATTTTATATTCTATATATAAACTTGATTCTTCTTTTCAGGCGTCTGCTTTATCTGATGACAAACCCATGTTAAATGATGAACCTTCAACCAAAAGAGCCACCAAATACAGTTTTTGTGTGAAGATGAGCAGACAGATCCACAGAGATAAAATGATTACAGAGATTTTGGGAAAAGTCTGCTCTCATGTTGAACAGAAGATTATGTGTAAACCATTAATCCTGAGTTGGACGGAGCAGAGAAGAGACATGCCGAGGGGACAGAGAGGAGCCAGTTGTTGGGGGTCAGACTGAAAGTTGGAAAGAAATTCTGGCACACTCTTCAAAAAGGGACCGACTGCATGCACTCTGGCCCCAGCTTCACCGTAACGTCAACTAAATCCAGGTTTTATACACGTGCTTGCAATACTTACTGAGTTTAACAAAAGATTATATAGGCATTAATTCACAGAGCTAGATAAAATGGCCTAAATTTACCTTCAATATCTGTAGGTTACACTTTTGAGATTATCCAGGATTTACTGTTGGGGATTATACAATTGAAAAAAAAAAAAAAGAAAAAAAAAAAAAAAAAAAAAAAAAAAAAAAAAAAAAAAAAAACTAAAGCGCCATTTTTGTCAGCCACAAGAATAATGATATAAAGTAAGTTTCTGGGTCAAAAAGGAGATTAGTGGAACAGATAAATAAATTGATTTCCAAACAACAGATGTATGAGAAAACCTTTAATTTATTGTTCAGTGAATAAAGTACAACACTTAAGAGCTAAAATCTCAATCAAGATATTTCAAGTCTGTAAAAAAAAACTACTAACAATTAGGTTTTGAATTCCTAACATGTTTTTCTGCAGAACCAATTTTTTTTTAAATACTTTTAAAATTCACCAGTAGCACAATATAACCGATGCATACTGCTACTTTAACTCCATTAGTTTATATGTAGTTATGATGTTTTTGGGGGACTGTAAGAACCATTCCATAACTTGCTTCTACTAGGTTCTGTTATATTGAAATTTGTTCACAAACAGTAAAACAAAAAAAACAAAACAAAAAAAAACAAAAAAATCAAAAACTTTCTTTAAAGTTACAACGGAGCAGAAATTAGTATTTACACAGACGAACGAGTGACGTGAACGACAGCGTCTGATGGGAGGAGGAGAAAACGTAGAGGAGCTTCCGGAGTGAAAGACAGGAAGAGAGGGAAAAGTAGGAAGGACTTCATTGTTTCGGAGGTTCGTACTGAATGAGACGCATTGCATTCTCGTTTTCAATCACTCCCTTGATGAACTCTCCTTCAGCCAGTCGCTCTGTGATGGAGTGAAAAAAAGAACGTGGAAGAAAGCAGTGAACAGAGGAATGAAAGAGAAGCACAGAGAAGGTTGAATAAGGACTCTATAAATCCGCTCTTATCTCTTGCATTTGTCAGAGAGACAGTTGCATGCAATGATAGTGTCACTTAAGGTTTGCATGACTAAGGGATTTTACATACATAATGAAGGTCTTGTGGTTTAAGTGTGGATGTTCTCCATGTGGATCTACGTCAGGTTATTTTCATTTATTTAAAATAATAAATTGAAGGTGTTGTTTTTTTTTTTTTTTTTACATCAATTTAAGAAATCAAGTATTCCTAAAACTGTATATGTTTTCAATTATAGAATATTTTATTTTTTTATGCAAAATAATCTTTGAGAAAGCTGAACAGGATGATTATTTTAAATCACTTTTGGTTTAACATGTTTTACTTTGTATACATATAACTCGACAACTCAAGCGACTAAGTTTTAAGAGCAAAGGTAAATCTGCTCTTATTCTTAAAACAGATATCTCTTAGTTACATGTAAAAAAAAGGTAAAATAAACATCATGTTCAGTTTAAAAATAAATCACATATCAAATCTACTTTATAAAGAGCAAAAATATTTTTTAGGAATTAAATCTAGAAGATTTTATATAAAAAAACAAAATATTTGATATGACAAATATATTATTAAAAAACACAGAATATAAAAGTATTAGTTGTAAATGTACAAATATTAGCCACTAACTAAAGTTTGAAGTAAGTCATAAAATAAATTTTTAACAACCAGAAAAAAATATTTTTATTTGTAACATGATTTTGTGTGCAGTAAAGCCTTTTACATCTACGAATAGCCATACAAATTGTAATCTACAAGTATATTAAAACAGGCTTTGTAAATGCAAAATATTTGACTTATTTGTTTTGTTTGTTTCCCCATACTTTAGACCACAGAATATATATATATATATATATATATATATATATATATATATATATATATATATATATATATATATATATATATATATATATATATATATATATATGTGTGTGTGTGTGTGTGTGTGTGTGTGTGTGTATGAAGCAAAGCCTTATTAAGCATAAGATGTTTCAAAGCAGTCCAACTACAAAAATTGTAACTGTGATGTAAAAGACAAATTGTTTTATAAAAATGTGTCAAATAATCTAGTTTAAGAGAAACTTTTAACTCAGGCCCACTGCAAGGGCCTGAGTTATGTGTGAGAATCCAAATGTGATGAAATATATAACAGGTTTCAACCCTCCTGAGCATTTACTTTCACCAAAAAAGTGTAAAACTTAATATAGTTTTGAATATTACATATTTATGTAATTTTAAAACACAGTTCACATCAAAAAATAATTACAATGAATCTATTTTAAAACTTTTTTTGAGATTGTTAATTATTTATTGTTAATTTAAGACATTTTGGGGAAACATGACTGAAGATAATACTTTAAAGGTAAATAAAATTTTAATTTTTAAAATAATTATACCAAAACAAGATAGTGCTAAATTCTTTTGTTTTTCTACAAAATCCTCACAAGTAGACATTTTGCATATTTAGTTTTTATTACTTTACGAGAATCAGTTCAGTTAGTTATTAGTTCAATTCAGAAATTCAGTTTTTTTGTTTTTAGAGAAAAATGTTAATCAAAGTAAAATTTTCTCTTTGTCACTGAACCTCACTTAAACAGAAAATCATAATTATTTTAGAAGGACAATTTTTAATTTAATGCCACAGCAAACCCAATGTATAAAATATTACAAATGTGTTTGAATATGGAGCAAAAACTGTGAAAGATAAACTAAAATACCTGAAGGTAAAAGTAAAATTTGGAGATTTTTATTTATAAAAATGCCCCTGTGACGCCCTTGCTGAACATTGCAGGGGAAGAACGTGGCGTTCGTGTGACGCCTCTCACCATTGTCTTTCTTGTCAAAGTAAGCCCAAAGCTTGTTGGCTCTCTTCTCGGGTGTGTTCTCATCCTCTGGGAGCTTCTTCTGCTCTTCCTCGGGGATCAGCTTAAAGATGGCCTGAGAGGCGGGGGTTGGGGGGAGAAAAAGAAAAACAGGATGAAAGTACCGCCGCACTCCTCCTCAGCTGCACTGAACATGCACAAATCACAGAAATGAGTGAAAAACGATGCATGTCGAGTTGTGAACACTTTAGAAAACAAAATGAATCCACGTTGCTTGTTTGTGCGGTGAGTTTGAGTCTTTGGTTTCAAATTTCCCCTACAGCAGATATTCTGGAAGGATTCAAGTAAAATTAAAAAAATTCTATATGAAGACAAAAATTTGCAGCTTATGTCAAAAATAATGATAAGTCCTCAACTGAAGAGTGCAAACCAGTCAATCTGCAATGAGCCACTTAGAGTGAAGGGGGCTGAAAAAGACTAAAACTCTGTGTACTTCAGGTTCAGGTCTTTAAATGTGTGTCCCACTTAGAGAGGATGCTCTCATCTCCCAACATTTAAGACACATAGATTAACATGGATTAGTGCCAAGACTCAATCTGCCAACCAAAGGACCGTGAAGTCAACTCTTTCTCTTACTGCATCAGTCTCGCTGCACCTATCATGTGGTCTGCATAGTGCAAATAGTGTAGTTAGACGTGGCTATCTATTCATAATCTTGTTATCTCCGTCTAGATAACAAGGTTGTGAGGATGCAGTCATTTATAAACATAGAAGGGAGCTGTGCCAAAGCGGCTTATCAAGCTCAAATAAAGTCTGCTGTTTATGTCATTTATTCTGCCCAGATGAGGCGTTTGTTTCGTCTTTCATTTCAAATCCAAATTAAAACCAGGTTTTTAAGAAAATAGTCTGTAAAATGGCATATAGTTTTTGTTCCTAGACAAGTTTTTTTTTTTTTTTTTTTATTCAAGACAGACTTGAAAATAATCTGTTGTTCAAGGTTGCTTCTTAGTTTTGTTAATAATTTCTTTAAGTTTCTTTGAGTCTTGCAAAAGTTTTTAAAATGCAGCTATTTCACATAGTGACCATAAACATGACTCTTTGTTGGACTGAAGCCAGTTGGCCAGGACATAAATCCCATTACAATTCAAGCTGGATTCTCGGCTGATCTTCCTAAACCTCTTACAAATCTGTATCATTTGTCTTAAAACAGAATATGCAGACTGATGCTATGAAAACAATGTGTGGTATTTGGCTTGGTGCAGCAGAGTCCAACACCTGTCAAGTAAAAGATTAGACCAAAGATGATTCACGGTCTCCCAATCAGAGGTAGAGCTCGAAAACACCCCCCTTTGCTACTGTTTGACTGTCTCTACTGTCTGATGGCTAAACCAATAATCAGAGAGATTATCAGGAGGTCAAAATTACAAGCTAATTGGAATGACAATCAAGACTCAGACCTACATGCCATGACAAGGGTTGATTATTTCCATTTGTAGGCAACAACAGCTATGATGGACCAAACAGAAGACAAGCAAAACGAGAAAACCTAAGCTGCTCAAAGTTTACATTTAACAACCACATAATGCAAAATGTTAATCCCTTAAGTCTCACAATCACAAGACTAATGCAAAACTGTTGAGTTGGATTACATAATGCCAGCTAATATGCATAGAACTCACAATTTGAGAATTGTCTAATAACCAGTTTCAGAGAAAAGTAAACAGGGAGCCATGTTTTCTCCAAGCACACACAGTGGTCATCTCTAAGTGAAGCCAGCCTTCCTAGTACATTGACCCTTCTCT